ACATCAGCTGCCACCCGCATTGAAGCAGAAAGTGCACAGAAGGTGCATGACATTTACAAGGACCTAGGAGGAGTGCCAGGCAACATTGACCTCATTTACGACGGCACGTGGATGACGAGGGGGCACAGAAGTCATATTGGCGTGGGCTGTGTAATCGAGCTGTACACAGGCTTGGTCTTGGACCACTGTGTCCTGTCCAACTACTGCCAAGGCTGTGCTGTTGGTCCCAAGCCTGGTGACGACAACTATGAGGAGTGGCTTGAGAAACACAAGCCACAGTGCCAAAAGAACACCGATGCTAATGCAGGCCTGGAAGTAGAAGCAGCGAGGATCATGTTTGAAAGATCGTTTACCAAGTACAAGCTTCGATACATCAATGTGCTCTGCGACGGTGACAGCCGTACGTACCTTGCCCTCACGCAAGACAAGGTGTATGGCTACATGTTGATTAAGAAACAGGAGTGTGTGAACCATGTGAAAAAAAGAATGGGCACTTCCTTGCGCAACCTTCTTGATGAGCACAAATCCAAAGGCCGAGGACTGAGCATGGGTGGCAAAGGCCGGCTGACGCAGGGCCTTATAAAGAAGTTGACGAATTATTATGGCTGGGCCATTAAGAGCCACCCAACGATGTTCCTGGCATGGAGAGGGCCATCATGGCCACTTATTACCATGTAACATCCACAGACCAGGATCCACACCACGACCTGTGCCCAAGTGGGACTGACTCCTGGTGCCCGCACAATCAGGCATTGGCCAAGGGAGAGCCGCTGCCGCCTCACAAACATAAACTGCCCCCTCACGTGCGAGTGGCACTGCTGCCAATCTACAAGCGCCTCTCGAACAAAGAGCTCCTTGAAAGGTGTGCGCAGGGAAAAACCCAGAACGCTGTGGAGAGTATCAACAGCCTCATTTGGTCACTCCAGTCCAAGAGCCAGTTCGCCTCCCTTCGAAGTGTGGAAAGTGCAGTTGCAGATGCAGTCTGCCGTTTCAATGGTGGCTGCAAGAGTGCGCTGCAAGAGTGCGCTGCAAGAGATCACTGCTCAACTGGGCTTCAATCCAGGAGACTGCTCTTTGCGGCGAGCAGCCGAAAAGGATGCCAAAAGGGTGAAGAGGGCTCAAAAGACGCATTGTTCCACGACAAAGAAGCGCAAAACTGGGTTGCGCTCTACAGAGGCCAAGGCCACAGCATCTCAGGATTACTGCCCAGGAGGATTCTGAGTGTTTTAGGCATGTTGTGAACTTCCAAACAAGAGTGAACTTTCAAAGTCAGTTTTCTCAACTCTTGATTTTCGCCTATGTGCCTTCGCTAGAACATCTGTCATTTTTTAACAAAGACTGATAGAGTCGTTCCGTTTTTTGCACTAGGCTCAGGAGGCCTTTAGCAGTGCAATAAAGCTTTATCTCTCTTCTTACTCATCATTTAAAATTTTAGAACACATTTTATAATTACTGCGATGTGTGCGCAAAACAACATCCATGTTTTGGAAATTTTATTTATGGTTACAAGAACTAGAAAAATCAACTAATAGCTTCTTTGCACAAGTTGATGCTTTGGGAACATAATAATATGAAAAAATAATTTCATTTAGCAATAATTATCTCTTTAAGTGCGAAGAGCATTAATTAGTATAATTATGCTTGTAACTCAAAATGTACAAGAGGTATTTGAAAACGGTTTTCATATTTGGAATCCTCACAATCATCCACATACACACACCAAATTTCATCACAAACAGTACATTAATAAAAAAATTAGTTTTACTTGCCACGTCCCCCCTTAACCGGAAAAAAGGTGCGTGTTAGATTCGAGTATTTACGGTAATGCATTCTTAGTTCGCTACTCTTTGGGGTCACGCAGATGTTTAACAGTCATATTGTTATCAATAAATATTTCTCCTAGCGCTGTTCCCTCTTCATTGAAGATGGCTAAGGTTCCCCCTGTGTTTAAATTTAGTGATTAGCAATCCCTATTTATTTATAGACTGATATCATTGATTTATCAGTCGTGCAAAATGTTAGAACATATCATTCATAAACACGTTACGCTCTTCTTGGAATGAAACCAATTACTATCTCGCAGACATAATGGTTCTTAACGTGGTTTTAGCACAATAACGCTATTCGTTTAATTCACGCATGATATTTTGCTTAGCCTTGATCATGGAAACCAGGTTGGCAACATTTGCACAAACTTCGCAAAGACCTTCAACGCAGTATTACATTCTAAACTTCTTGCTAAACTTTACGTGATACTAAACAATCCTCAAATGGTTAACTGGATATCTAGCTTTTTGTCGTATTGTCCTCAGTGTGTTTCTTAGAAATCAGACAACTCTCTGCTGTTAATAATTTAACATCTGTAGTGCCACAAGGGTCCATTTTTGCGCCTATATTTTTTTACTTTCCATGAATGGCTTGCCTGACCACACCTCTTCTCCAGTTCGTTTTTATGTCAACGATTTCATTCTGTATGAAATTTGTATTGATTTCATTCTGTATGAGCGTCAGCAGTCGATCAACTACTGAAAAGAGCGAAGTGCGTTGGCATTTATACTCTTGCCGTCGAAAGTTCTAGCGTTATCGCTGGCGGTGGCGTAGGTTCCAGAATAATCTGTACAGTTCGCAGAGTAGGCGTGATCTTATCCAAATGATCTACCACAGTCAGGAAGCTTCTCGAAAACTGCAGGTGCGGTTTGCGCTGAGAATTGTGTAGTGTTTTGGGACGATAACAAAACTTGGTGAATGGAATGTGGCATTGCCCTCCTCTGAAGAAGGCATCGTCCCAATGCTTTAGCTAAAGATGAAGGTACAATAATAATGCAAGAAAAAACAATGAATAAATTACGATACAACAATAATACAAAAAAACACTGTTTCAGTTTGTTAACGCGCATGAAACGGCTTGAGGCGCGCGACGTGGACGACTTCAGGTCGCGTTCGGCATCGTTGAGAGTTCGTGATGCTGTCGGGGACAACCTCGTAATCAAGTGGGCTGAGATGTCGAACCACCCTGTACGGTCTGAAGTACCCTCGCAGAAGCTTTTCACTTAGTCCACGTCGGCAAATCGGCGTCCACACCCAAACACGTTCACCAGGCTGGTATTCCACGAAGCGTCGTCGAAGATTGTAATGGCGGCTGTCGGTCGTTTGTTGATTCTTCATACGGAGACGTGCGAGTCATCGGGCTTCTTCGGCGCGTTGAAGGTACTCACTCCCGTCGAAGTATTCTTCGTCTGTGACGTTGGGTAACATGGCATCGAGCGTAGTTGCCAGGCTCCTTCCGTAGACCAATTTGTATGGAGATATCTGCGTCGTCTCCTGCACCGCCGTGTTGTATGCGAAGGTCGTACGGAAGAATGGCGTCCCATGTCTTGTGTTCTACATCGACGTACATTGCCAGCATGTCGGCGATTGTCTTGTTAAGCCGCTCGGTGAGGCCGTTGGTCTGTGGGTGGTACGCTGTCGTCCAGCGGTGGTTTGTCTGGCTGTATGCCAAGATCGCTTTAGTTAAGTCGGCAGTAAATGCCGTTCTTCTGTTGGTGATAAGGACCTCCGGGGTGCCGTGACGTATGATGATATTTTCGACGAAGAACTAGGCTACCTCGGATGCACTGCCTTTGGGAAGGGCTTTTGTCTCGGCGTAGGTTGTGAGGTAATCGGTAGCTACCACGATCCACTTGTTTCCGAAAGCCGACGTCGGGAACGGCCCCAGTAGGTTCATACCAATCTGCTGGAAAGGTCTGCAAGGTGGTTCAATTCGCTGCAGAAGTCCCGCTGGCCTTGTCGGCGGTGTCTTGCGTCGCTGACAGTCCCAGCATGTCCTCACATAACGAGTGACGTTGGTGGTAAGACGTGGTCAGTAGTACCTTTCTTGTATCCTCGCGAGCGTGCGAAAAACACCGAGGTGCCCTGCTGTCAGATCGTCGTGCAGGGCCTGCAGTAGTTCTGGTCGCAGAGCTGAAGGCACCATAAGAAGGCACTTAGCTCGAAGCGGTGAAAAGTTTTTCTTTTGTAGAAGACCATTTCGCAGGAAGAACGACGCAAGTGCGCGCTTGAATACCTTCGGGACTTCAGCGATCCTGCCTTCGAGGTATTCTATTAGGCCGCGTTCAGACTGAGCATTCCGGGCGCCGAAAGTGCTTCGGATCCGGTTCGGCGGCGGCGAGATCCGCCGAAAGGGCCCTTTCCGCGCCGATCGCTCCCGGACCGTTTTTTGCGGCGTCTGCCGCCGAATCCGTCACCGCGGACCAATAGGAGCGCTAGTCAAAGAATTTTGAAAAATAGCGGCCAAGTCCTATTCACTTGCTATGCTGCAGTGCACGTAACTGAATGTTGATACCAACGGAGTTTAACCTACTCTGTGCCTACTTCACCTCCATATTTCGTGAAAGAGGTGACCGAGCTTGCTAATGGCGTGACCGAGCTTGTTGCGGTCTTGCAAAGCAAAACGAACCCACCAACGCCGCTGGCGTCAGTGGTTTTTCTGCTCTTCGTGCATTACAAGGCAGCCATTTGCCAGCAAAGTAAGCAGTACTGTCTTTTCTTGCTTCTTCCGCACGAGAATCGTCGAAGTATGCACCAATGGATACCGTAGCAGCGTTTGCGAGCCGCGACAACAACCGGGTGACAGCGCATCCATCCCGCGTTCGCCCCGTAGTAGATGGCATATTCGGCGGCGCGGGGCGCGTCCAGTGCGAACAACGCTGTGTTTCGGCGGCAGGGGAATTTCGGTCGCTGTAGAAAGCGAATGTTTCAGTGTGAACTCGGCTTTAGGGCCTTAAGTTCCGGGTCGGCACGCTGTCGTTCAGCGAAGTCGGCGGTAGTTATCGTTCTTAAGAAGTAGTCGTCATTTGGGTCGTCGGGTGGTGGTTGGTCGACAGGCGCACGAGAGAGACAGTCAGCGTCGGAGTGTTTCTTGCCGGACTTGTAAATGACAGAGTGGACACGGGATCGGTGCTTCTGTACAAGCACTGAATCGCTTCCCTTTTGCAATGCAGGTTCAGCTGGCATTCCTCGTGCCCTTCTTATCAAGTGCATCCTTAGGCGTGATATGCGCTCCTTCATTACCCTCGACGCTGGAACATCTAGGCATCGGCGCGTCTGACGTGGTGATCTTTTCGCCTCGTGATTTCGCGCCCATGCCTACCCTGCCTATTCTTGATGAACTCGTCTTCAAGCAACCCCCCGGATCGACAGCAGCATCAACTTCAACCAAGTGTTTAAGAAGCCAGCGCAGCCCAAACCAATTCAGTGGACACGGGATCGGTGCTTCTGTACAAGCACTGAATCGCTTCCCTTTTGCAATGCAGGTGTGTGCAAACGTTTCTTTATATGCAAAGAAAAATAACAACCTCTGCTTAATACTGGTCCCGTGTCCACGGGTGTTGTGTGAAGTGTTTTGTGAATGTTTTTTCATACCTTTTTTGCTTCTACGCGCTGGCGATGTTGAGAGCAACCCCGGGCCCCCTACCAAGCGTTCGGACACGCTCGGTGACATAGCATCCTTACCCGCAGATCCCGCGGAACAGATGAGGGTCATTTTCCAAATGCTCAAAGATGTTCACACCCGCTCACTGGAAAGTTCGAAGGTACAGACCGAATTAGCAGCTGATGTTAAAGCAATTAAATCTGGACAGAAATCCATCGAAACCAAGATCACTGCTATTCAGAACCGGCTTGAAGTACTGGAGGAAAATTATAAAAAACTAGAAGAACTTACCCAGGAAGTTAGTAGCATCCATACTCAGACAGATCAGCTTTCCGCTCAGGTATGCTCATTGCAAACACGGGTGCAGGATCACGATGACAGACTGCGACGCAACAACCTCATTTTCTACGGCATCCCAGATTCTGAAGAGACCTGGGCAATGACAGAGGAAAAAGTTATTTCCACTCTCAATTGCCACCTTTCTTCTCCCCTTTCCTCTGATGCCATTGAACGCGCGCATCGCTTGGGTACCTTCAGCCAGGGCAAATGTCGCCCAATCATAGTTAAATGCCTATCCTATAAAACAAAAGATGCGTTACTTGCGACACATATACACCTAAAGAAACATAACATCACTGTAGCAGAGGATTTTTCACCCACTACACGTGCAGCTCGGAAAAAAACTACTTGATTTTGCCAAGAGTCAACCAGGCCCCGTCAAGCATAAACTCAGCTACAACAAGCTGCTTCTGAACCAAAAATGCTACATGTACGACCCAAACAGTGATGCAATCATCAACATTCCAAATCGTAGTACACAAACCATTGCCCCGCCTGCAACTTCCAAGCCCTAGGAAAGCGCGAGGGGCAGTGGTCATGTGACTGTAGCTTCCATATCGGTCCTGTTTACTAATATCAGAAGTGTTCTTAACAAGTATAACTCTCTATCATCAGCAATCGACACATGCTCCGCTAAAATTATCGCGTTAACTGAAACTTGGCTCTGCGGGCAAGTGTGCGACTCCGAGATATTTTTAAACGCTCATCGCTTCTCACTTTTTCGTCGCGACCGTGGCACACAGAGAGGCGGTGGCGTACTTCTGGCTATTTCCAGCGATATCCCATCATCATCTGTACACGTTCATACTAATCTAGAAATGATATGGGCTGTGGTAACGCTTAGTCACCAGAATGTAGTCATCGGGGTATGCTACCGCCCACCCTCACCCTCGCCTACATTCAGTAGCGAACTTCAAGATGCCATAAACGCTGTTAGTACGCGTTTCCCTACATCGCCGTTGCTCTTGCTGGGTGATTTCAATTTTCCCAACATAACCTGGAATTCCCATTCCCCTTTAATATTTCCGCTTTCGTCCCAAGCTCGCGAATTTTTAGACGTTTGCTCGGTATTTTCCTTACAGCAAATGTGTACACAAGCAACCAGAATAGTAGCTCACGCTGCAAACACATTAGACTTAATTCTAACAAACAGTTTCGATATAATATCGCCCATAACGTACCTTCCGGGTCTTAGCGATCATTTGCTTCTACATTTTTCCATTAACTTAGCCCACCCGAAAACAAAGAAAAAGAAGAAAATCATTCGTGACTATAACAGAGGTGACTTTGAGGCAATCAACAATGACCTTTCTACCTTCACTGATCTTTTTCTTGACGGTTTTGACGATCGTAGTGTACAAACTAATTGGAATATGTTTTCAGATAAAATAATTCAACTCACTGAACAGTACATCCCACACCGCAGTGTAACCAACAACTCAAATGCACCCTGGTACAACAGCCATATCCGGCGTTTGTCAAACAGGAAAAAGCGTTTCTTTCGCGCCGCAAAACTTTCGCCTTCTAATGAACGTTGGGCTTTATATGCAACAGCGTCTACGTTGTACATTCAAGCCCTTCGAGATGCAAAAAAACATTTTCATTCCCATGTACTACCTTCCATGTTAACCACAAATGTTAAGAAATTCTGGCGAACTTTTAATCCCTCATCCGATGACGCTATCACACTGACCGATTCCTCTGGCGACCCCATTTCATCTGATATTTGTGCCTCAGTTTTTAACCGTACATTTGCTGAGAACTTTTCTGCCCATTCTGCTGTTAATAACCCCACAACAAACAGCCATACCTTTGAAAGTATGCCACCTATACTAATCAGTACACTTGGTGTTCTTGAGCTCATTGGTGGACTTAGCCTTCATTCAGCTCCCGGCTGTGATAATATTAGTAACAAGTTCTTGAAAAACACTTCGGCCTACGCTGCGTTAATCTTAACTAAACTTTTTCAACAGTCTCTTGATCAGTCCATTCTTCCAAATGAGTGGAAAATTGGGAAGGTCATTCCAATTCACAAGTCTGGAAGCAAGACATCTCCACTTAACTATCGCCCCATTTCCTTAACCAGCACATGTTGTAAAATGTTTGAGCATATTATTTTCACTAACCTTGTCGGTTTTCTAGAATCCAACTCTTTTTTCTGTTCAGCACAACACGGTTTTAGAAAACATTACTCATGTGAAACTCAGCTAATAACCTTTACTCATGCGCTACATCAAGTACTAGATCGATCATCGATCATTGACTGCATATTTTTAGATTTTTCTAAGGCATTCGACAAGGTTTGTCATAAATTGCTACTGCTTAAACTAAACACGCTTAATATTGGTATTAATTTACTGAAATGGATTGAGTGCTTCCTTTTAAACCGCTCACAATTTGTTTCTTTTAATGGCTTTAACTCAGAGTTTACAGATGTCTATTCGGGAGTTCCTCAAGGTTCAGTCCTTGGGCCTTTATTATTCCTAATTTATATTAATGATCTTCCTTCCGTTGTTAACTCTAATATTCTCCTATTCGCGGATGACTGTGTTGTTTTTAGAGAGATAACGAACTCTAATGATGTTGCCTCACTTCAGTCTGATCTTGGCGCAATCGCAGACTGGTGCAGTGAATGGCTAATGCAACTAAATATTAATAAATGTAAAGTCATGCGTGTTTCCAGAAAAACTTCCCGTCCACCACCATACCACATTGATAACATTCATTTAGAATCAGTAACTTCATATAAATACCTCGGTGTTTACATTACTGCAAACCTAAACTGGTCTGCTCATATCGAGCACTTAATTAACAAAGCTAACCGCATGTTAGGCTATCTTCGTCGAAATTTTTATCACGTTCCTTCCTCCTTGAAACTCCTGCTCTATAAAACACTAATCCGATCGAAATTAGAGTATGCCACATCGGTGTGGGATCCCACCCATATCAACTTAATTACTGCTCTAGAGATGGTTCAGAACAACTCTGTACGTTTCATTCGCGCTAATTACAGTCGCACCGCCAGCATAACTTCTATGAAATCAGACCTTTCCCTCCCATCATTATCACTGCGCAGAAAAGTGTCACGCATTGCCTTGTTTCATAAAATGTATCATCATCCTGATCTGCGCGATCGACTCATCCCTCAACCATCTTATGTATCCCATCGCACTGATCATCGTCACAAAGTTGGATTCGCTTCATGTAATACTGAGTACTTTTATCAATCATTTCTACCACGAACCTCTCGCGATTGGAATGGCCTTCCCGCTGACATTGTAAACATTAATAACTGTAAACATTTTCGCAATTCTGTAGCTAATATTGTATACTCAGGCTCTTTCTAACTTATAGTGCGTCTCTATTGTACTTGCATATTTTGTTCCTTTTATTTTGTTACCTTTTTGTGCTTTTACCACTCCCCCTCTGTAATGCCTCTGGCCCTGAGGGGTATAATAAAATGAAATGAAATGAAATATCATATTCTTGAAGTCTGAGGCTCTATCATGGGAGGCGATCTGAAGGGTCCTTCAAGGTGGCTAGCCAACACAAGGCGTGGTGATCACTCACAACTTTTAAGGGCCTGCCGTAGAGGTAGGGGGCGAAATTTCGACGTAGCCCAGATGATGGAGAGGCACTCCTTTTCTGTTGTGGAATCATTGGCTTCTGCTTTGGATAGCGATCGGCTGGCGTAACTAATAACCCTTTCAAGTCCGTCAGCCCTCGGCACAAGAACGGCCCCAAGACCTACGCTGCTTGCGTCGGTGTGTATTTCTGTCTCGGCGAATTCGTCGAAATGGGCAAGTAACGGAGGCATCAGGAGGCGATGTTTAAGCGCCTAGAAAGCGTGTTCCTGCGGTGTTTCCCACTTGAACTCCACATCGGCCTTGGTAAGGTTAGTAAGAGGATCGGCGATGCGGGCGAAGTTTTTCACGAACCGCCTATAATAGGCGCACAGGTACATAAATCGGCGCACCGCCTTCTTGTCAATGGGCAGCGGGAAGTCTGCGATGGCGGCTGTTTTCCGTGGATCAGGACGAACGCCAGACTTGCTGATAACGTGTCCCAGAAACAAGAGCTCCTCATACCCAAATCTGCACTTTTCTGGCTTCAGTGTGAGTCCGGACGTCTTGATGGCTTGAAGTACAGCTTCAAGGCGCCGAAGATGCTCGTCGGAACTCGAGGAATATACGACGACGTCGTCCAAGTACACAAGGCAAGTCTGCCACTTCAATTCTGCCAGTACTGTATCCATAACGCGTTGAAAAGTTGCAGGCGCTGAGCAAAGACCGAAGGGCATCACCTTAAACTCGGAGAGGCCGTCCGGTGTCATAAACGTCGTCTTCTCTCGGTCTCTTTCGTCGACTTCGATTTGCCAATAGCCAGTCTTGAGGTCCGTTGACGAAAAGTACTTGGAGTTATGTAGCCAATCAAGTGCCCCGTCTATTCGTGGGAGAGGATACATGTCCTTTCTTGTGATTTTGTTCAGGCGGCGATAATCGACGCAGAAACGTAGAGTTCCATACTTTTTCTTCACTAACA